TGTCGACTATTCTGAATTAAAACCAACCGAATATAAACCAAGGCTTTGTTACTCTCGTGACAGGTTACTCGGGATGTTTTGCACATAAATAACGTACAATTAGAGCAGGTCTTAAAATTTAATTATTTTAGAATTGCATTAATTATGATGGATGGCAGAACACTGAAATAAACACATGGATTAGCCAGATGAGTCCTGCAATGCGAGAGTTAAACCAGTCTGTCTAATGAAATATGAATTGAGTAGTGATGCGAAGCTCTCTGCCTTAAGATTTATCCAATTTATCCACTGTGTGTCCTTTTCTTTAGGCACGAGTTCTGAATATCATACGGAAGGGTATTATTCAGGTACAAAACGGAAATGAGGATAATACAAAGGTCTGTTTGTGTGAAGAGATTCGGTGAAAATTGGAGTACGGTAATTTGACTCGTTTCGCTTTTTAACATAAACACGTTCTCTTTACAACACCACTGCCTGAACTGAACATTGGCAAGATGAATCGATCATATTAATACTTGATATTGTTGCAGCTTGAAATCGTCTTACTGGAGGACAATCGAGATCATTGGCAAAACTATTGCATCTGTTGTCCCTGAAACACTTAAACGAACATTTACAATTTGGGAGTGACAATTTTACTGCCTGAGGCTACTGTCAGATTAGTTGAATTACTTTCTCTTTGTGTTTATGCACGGTAGGTGCTAAAATACCAAGAAGCCATGGCCTGTTTAAACAGCCCCTTTGTAACGAGGAGCAGATGGACGGTGCAGCTGCGCTGTGTGAATTGAGTGAGAGATTGTTATTCTTGCTGCCGGTACTGCAAACTAGCAGTTTGCTAGTAAACCCATAATACCGGTATTAACTATTTTTGTACATGCCTATGGATCGCGTCATATCCGTCGGTGTTCGAATGGGTTTTTGTCCAACTAAACAAATGGTGCGGGTGAATTGGCAGGAAACTACTTTGCTTAATGTGTCAGATGTTTTAATAGACTTTCTATGCTCAAGGTGTTGAAAGTAAACATCGGATTCACCATGTAAAATAGTCGATCCGGCTTTTCTGGATAGAAGCTGAAATAGAGAAGATCAGAAAACTGAAATAACATGAACTATTGTTTTCTTAGGCATCAGAACTGCATATATTCCAAACTCCTCTTCGATATGGCACTTCAACATTATCATATTGTGATTATCTCTGAAACTTATGATGATGATGGATGCTACGGTGGTATCTATCGATTTAAATGTCGCAGTTTCTTAATTCATGACTCATCGCAACGAAGTGCTTTTCTTTCTTCACGATTTCTCATGTGCATGATATCGTTTTATCCCTCTGTCGGATGAATCAATGCATATTCGTTGTGAACCGTCGACGCAAATGGCCGTTATTGATTTTCGTTCATAAAGCGTCGCAAAATTTTCGTGCAGTTGACTCTTTGCCAGAAGATCATTTAAATGGTCTGATTCACTGAAATGGCTCGTTGTTCGACTCGTTTTCAGATTAACACAGGGGGGATAGATTTAGGGAGAATACATTTTATAAGTAGATTGAGGTGATAATCAGATATATACCTTATTCCCAGGGCGTATGTAGATATTCTCTCATTTATTGCTGTATGATTTCATTTATGCTGAAGATTCCTGGCTTGTCGTGTTTCTGTTGCAGATGCGAAGCGAGCATATCTCCACTGCGACAAGCCATGATCATGGCGTCAGTGGTACGTCTGCGATGAGGGTAATTTAATTACTCGTTAAATGCTTTTCTCAGAGCAGTCTAGCTGATAGACAATGAAAAGCTTTTTTTATGACGTCCAATTTTTGAGATCTTTTCCAGTTCTGTTTCACAGTTTCGTTGCGATGTGGGTCGATCACGGCATAAAATCCGGTTCTGTTGAGATGAGTTCCGAATTAAACAGGTTTGCATCGGATATAAGAGAACAGTTACCGAAATAGTTCTTCATACAAATTGCTAGTTGTTCTTCATCCTGAAATGACTCGAATAACAGAATTATAATGTTTGCACATTCGAGAGGTTTTCTTTCGGTAGTTTATTTAAAACCAACGTTTACTCCGGTGAAAGAGATAGAACAAATAAATTACTAACGGTTGGTAAATAAAATGTGGAGGCTTCGTCAGGAAACAGGCTGGAGACTTCTTCATCCAAAAATAAACGAAAAAGGCTTACGAATCGAGAGCAATCGTACTCGCCACAGAACGAAGGCAATTACCAGCATGCAATTGCCGTCAGAGCGAAGTACGAACTGATTGTTTACTTCAGTCATGAAGATCAGTCGCGCTTTTCGAAGCGATGACTATCGAAATGGTGGCAGTCAGGTGTTGACAGGCTTTTGGCAAAGCCACTTTGCGTAGCTGTTGGCTATTTGACGCTTCCATGGATTGTGGAAAGAGTAAAAACCTCCAGAGATAAAGGTTAGCTGTGATAAATAAGCAGTCACACAGCGGTGATACCACCCGGGCGGGTCCGGGTTCGGGCTCAGTAAGTCAGAACCTCATAGAAAGAGTCAGTGCACGGTGAGAATCTCATGTCCAGGCAAAAGTGACCCACCCCTTTGAAAAAAATTACCGCTATTGTCGTTGATGCTTGGTGATGCAAATTAGCGAGATGACCGTTAATGGCCATAGTAGAAACGAAACAGCGGGTCACTGGCAACACCTGGTTCACGAAGACTAAAATCAACATTAAGTGAGCATAGATCGGGCCCAACGCCGCGGCGAAGAACTAGACGTAGCAGTTATTCCGCAATTTAACGCCGGCAGTGACCACAGCCAGGTGCGGACCAACCTAACCATCGAGGAGAGGAAGGTACTAT